CCCAACTGGCCCCTATTTCTTTCTGACTTGTGCTTCTAGACTTCTATATGTGTCCCCAATCCCTACCCAAATATCTGGAGGTTCGTATCTTTACCTCGTTCTCACTTATTAGAGTCTCTTTCTTAGAACTGTGTCTTGAATTCTAGGAACTGACACAAGAAGACTTAAGTATACAGTTTTACAAAATGGCAGAGGTTAGTGAGTTTGAATACAAATTACACGAACTTACAATAGCAGAGTCTGAATTTATTACATTTTGGTGGTATTAAACTTTTATTTAGAAAGAAAAAGTTAAAGAACTCAAATTCTTTATTCTTTAAAGGATTTTAGCACTTCAAAGGGCATGTGTACAGGAATACGTATACACATAAGACATATATACATATGTTTTTGAGGCTAACTGTTGATGAGGAATTTTAATTATTGCTTAATTTTTTAATATGACCAATAGCCCCTACCATTTCTTCTCAAAATAGATTAATAAGCTGCAAATATAGCCTGTCTATCCATCTGTATCTTTTGGAAATTAGGGGTGGCATTTGTGAAGGTGTGAAATGAGACAGGATTTGAAATGGCCATGGATAAGAACTGAAGGGATAAAACAAACAAAAAAATCCAGACTGTGCAACTCAGTTTTTTCATGGTAATGTTAACAACATTAAAATTTATCTATTTGTAGTGAGACTTAAAGAGAAATAATGATAGTAATCTAATACTTTGTAGAGCGCTTTATGGTTGTCAAAGTATTTTTACATATATTATACTCTATATGTACATATTAATTTTCCTGGCAGCACTCAAAAGGCATCTGTATGGCTGCAATCTAAATAAATATGAATTAAGCAGCAGATCAATTGATTGCTATGAAAGAAAAATTAAAAGGATCATGGTACAACTGCAGCAGTAATCAGAGTTGTTATAATTGGTGTTTTATGCAAGAAGTTTACACTCAGTGGTGAAAAAAACTGCTTTGGACTACCTGATTATTTTTGAATCTGGGTCATCAGAAGTGAAATAAGCAGACTTCTGGGATCAACCACAAAATGTCCTTCCTCCATATCCACTGAGACTGTAAACTCCTTGAGGATAGCCATATGTCTTGCCTATGACTGCATCCATGAGCCTAGCCCAATTTCCCCAAGTAGGATTACTTACTCTTTTAGGATGAAACTTCTTTCTTTGGGATTAGATAGGCCCATAAAACAAACAATAATACATGGAGCTCACCCATGTATACGAGACTAAACGGGCACACCAGCCCAGGGGCAAGGATGAGAAGGCAGGAAGGGACAGGAAAGCTGGATGAATGGAAATGGGGAAGCCAAGATCGAGAAAGGGAGAGTATTGACAAGTGGCAGGGTTGGCAACCGATGTTAGAAAATAATATGTGTATTAATTGTTTAATGAGAAATTAAAAAAAAAATTATTTCTTTGGATATGCCTGTTTTAGTAGTAATTATCTGACTCACAGTGAATACAACTATCCCATAGGGTTTCCAAGGAGTGGCTGGTGGATTTGAACTGCTGACTTTTAGGTCAGCAGCTGAACACTTAACCAGTGTACCACCAGGGCTCCTACATATCTTTGGGGAGCACTAAACTGTGAGCTCCCAAAGGACAGGACTTTGCTCCATCTCTGAGTCTCCAGAAACAACCACTGTCACTGCAGCAGAGGGCAGAAATTCAGGCTACATCTAATGAAGTCAAGTATCTGCCATATTTCTCTATAAAAAGACCTTGCTTGGACTTTCATGTTCAATCTCAAGGTCCCTTCCTTTTGGAAAGGCATAAACTGTCCTCTTGTCGAGTGATGATTCCTTTCCACCACTGCCCTCATTGTCACGATGGGGAAAAGTAAAGGGAAGAGACAGGAGGTGGTTTCCACAGTTTCCACAGTGTCCCTTGGCTGGTAATGCAACGAGGGTTTGAAATCCCAGGGGCTTACTTCATTGAGTGAACAATAAGAAGAAGAAATTTGATGAAGACTATTTTGATGATTAAAATAGCTACCATTTATGGGGTGTTTCTCATG